GATACATCCACAGCAAACAAATGGGCAGAATAAAAACTCTTCTTTTGTAACTAGTGCAAAAATCTCACATGAATCTTTAATATGCAGTTATGCTCCTACATTGCAATTCCTAATGAGAACTGCAAAACGACGCCAGTATACAGTCTCAGTGTGATAGTGACTTGACCCACAAGAGCAATCTGATGCTAATTTGCTATTTGCTAGTTATGAGCTGCTACCTCTTTCAATTTGCTCATGTCACTTCCATTATAAGCACTACATACAGACAGCCGGGGATGTGGTACTGCAGCTCTAGAAGCACACTCATCCATAAATGCTTTGCTATATACTTTAAAATACTCAATCCATGTTCATAGTTGACCAGTCTGGATCAGTTTGCATTGGTTCCATGATTGGGAAATGTTCCGTAGAACCCTGGATGTCCACTGGTCTCTCACAGCATAGGAAAGGTGCGCCGAGTTCGTCCACTGTTGATGATGAGTACGTATTGTCTTATAGTGACCTTGTGAATAGCCCTAAAGCAGTCCATGTCTTTAAATGTGTATCCATCGTAGAATAAATATGCTCGAGATTAGATTTCTTCATAGCTGAATGATTCTGTTGCTATCGTGTAACCTGTAACAGAAAAAAAACGAAATAGGTAAAATGCGTCAGTGCAGTACTACAAGACAAATAAGGGTAACGTGGATAGAGAATCGAATATGTTCTAAGGTCTGTATGAGCTAGTTGTTGAGTTCAGCTTCGAAAGATCAGGTGTGTACCTTCAGATTTATCAAATCATAGGCCTATATAGTATTTGAATATTTATTACATGTACTGTACTAATTATGATTTTCAACACCAAAAGTGAGAGTGAATTATACTTTTACTGTGTACTTCTAAAGGGTAAAAGTCAAATAATTAAATGCATTTATGTACATGTGTCTTTTAAGTGTCAAACAAAAAATTCTTAGACATTGCAACCTGATTTCTTTGCCTTCTCTTCACTAATTAAGTGTGCCTTGACCTGCTACAGATATATTGTATAAGCAGCCCTTGAGGTCAACATAAGTCCAGTGCATGCTGTCTGCATTTAATTAAAGTATATTGTATATTAGTTCATGTAAAAACATGGAGTTCAGCAATGACTTTCTAAGACACGAAAGTAAGTGCGTCGCTATAAAAGAAGAGGACATTTGTCCACAAAATTGTAACAATTTCTCAAGTAAGTCCTTCTAGTAGCATAACTTCTTGGGGAAATAAACCAGAGAGAATAAAATATCAAAATTGAAATAGGCACGATGATTGTTTTTTGATTTGGTGTTATTTGAAATAAACTTTAAATTAAATCTTGGAAATAGAGGTTGAAATCTGTTTTTTGGCACTAAAACATAATAATGAAATTATAAACTGTTTTCAGATTTATTGTTTTTCATTCTTAATTGAAATTCAAAAGAATAAATGGTTACATGGACCCCATGAGTTATCATTTTACTAGTTCTGGTAAAGATCAATACAGTTCTCCAGATTTGTAGTAATTATATGATTTTTATCAGTATCTATACCAGTGTATATAGTTTTGGCACTAGTTCTAATATTTATATTGTATCTTTGTATCTTACTCATCTTAATTGACAACCTTACATTAATAAGTAAATACTAACACCAGCTATGCCAAATACTTGATTGCAGATTTTAATAGCTCATTCTCCACCTTGTACAGATAATGATTTGTGAAGCTTTCCTAACAAGCAAAACCTGAAGCTAACCGCAAACCCAGCGATATTTATCTCTATAGAGTAACAGAGTTTGCGCTCTAATGCTCAGTCTATGCATTCCTCTACACTCCTACGCTGTGTGTGTGGGAGTGAAAACACAAGCAGTAGACAGACATCTCTCCGGATCAACTTCAGTGAATGAGACGCAGAGGCGGTGAATGTGGTCCGCGGTCAGAGAGAGACGCCACACAAAGGAGCGATGCACAGAAAAACCCACAGTGTCAGGGGGCCAAGGCCGCGAGAACCGTTGCCAGGCGATCACCGCATCCGTTGCAACTATCCTCTGTGACATCTGCCGCCACCGAGTCTCTAAGTAACTACACCCCAATCCCAAAGCACCCAGCAATGCACAATTAATGTCCACTGACGCACGCCATCACCGCATCCTCGAATTGACGAACCAAAGGGGAAAAAAACAAGGAGAACAAGAGGGGCTAGAGCTGTGTAATTGTTCCAAGGAGTCCCATTAATTTCACTGCAAAGGCAAACAGCGCCCGGGCTCCTCCTCAGCTGATCCCACTCGCCAATTTAATTATGGCTGTTAATTGTACAACTCTGAGGAAGGCCCCCGCTATAATGTGTCCTAATGAATGCGACAGATGTTGTGCTGTTATGCTGTCTCTAGAGCAATTACTCTAGCAACCACTTCCTTCACAACAGTCTTTGCTTTATATATCACCTGTATGTCAGTGGCACCTGCGCGCTCCCATGATTCTCGCCGTTCACAAATGCCCGAGTCGAAATGAATGTAGTGTAAATGAACGCAGGAAGTGTTTATATGTGACTTTAATTGAGCTGGTAAGTGAATGCGATGTTTTATATTCTCAATTAAAATGACCCTCTGGCTTTTTGAATCATGTCAGAGGTGTTTATCCGTCTGTGATGGAATATACTAGACACACTAACTTTTCCCTGGTCTGTGCATAGAAGTTAGCCTGGCCTCTGATCAAGGGAAAGTCTTTTAGATGGGCGAATGATTGATGAGTCAGAGAAAACAAGAGACTGGCCTTGGAGATTCTGTGTTATAAGGGGACCGGGACAGCAAAATATAAGATATAAATATACCCAAAATTGTATTAACTCAGTCTAAACTAGAGATAAACTAAACTGTGATAAACCTGAACTGCATGAGGATTCAACTTCAGATCCTTGTGTAGATATGTAAGTATGAGAAGACTACTAGCCAACTAGCAAAAACTAATACTACAATGCACTTCTGGCAATTGAAAACACAAATTGGTTAGTTACTTTTGAAATTAACTCTCCCCCTTTCACAGTGATATACAAACTAGGGATGGGCATTTGATTAATTTTTTTGACTAAAGTACACGACTCAGTGGAATATAGGTGTTCTTTCTGTTACAGAGGGATACTGCGTAATACATGCACCCTGAGAAAACCGGGATACTCAAAAAATCTGAGCATAACCAGGATACTGATGTGCATGTAAACGCCAAGGAGGTGCCAGAGCAACTCCAGTGTTTGCACTGTCAGACGCAGCCTAGTCTCCTTATACTATGCTACGCACAGCAACCTACATTCGGTTAATCAATTAAAAATGAACGTGACTGGCGAAATTCTTAATGATCAATTATCGACTAATCATGCCCATCCCTAATACAAACCAATCTTTTTGCATCTTTAATTTGCCATTGAGCGCTACATCAAAATCATCTTGGAGCTGCAGTGGTTCAGTGGTTAGAACAGCGGTTCCCTTACCCAAAGATTTTATGTTGTGTCCTTTGGCAAGACTTCATTCAAATTGTCTGAATATGGTGTGTGCTTAAATGATTTGTGGTGGTCGGAGGGGCCGATGGTGCAGATTGGCCACCTTGTTTCTGTCAGAATAGCTCAGGACAATTGTAGCTTACCACCACCGAGAGTGCAGTGAATGAATAATGAGTCTTTTTACCCTTATATCTCCCATTCAACAGTGTGAAACCAGATAAGGGGAATGTAATTATAATACTTTTATATGAACAGATATAATCGGTATCATTTTATAAGTCAAATTAAACTGTGCAAAAAACATTAAAATATCAATATATTGTGATAATAAATTTGGTGATACAGAATTGTTATCATATTTTTCGTGATCACACAACAATGTTGCTTTTTTATACACTTGTCTTCAGTGCACTTGGCATATTCATGTTTTTTTTTTTTTTTTAAATACATAAATAACGTAGATGTATTTCATATCAACTTTGCATAAGTGGTGGTTTAACAAAGAAATAAAGTTGCTAAAATGTTTGGTTCTTAAAAAACAGCATTATATAACAGAGTACTTTGTTGATTATCGCATTAATCACATATCACATCGTATCATAATAATAATAATAATATGGTATCATGAGCCATGTATCTTGTATCGTATCGAATCGTGATGGACCCTGTGATTCCCAGTCCTAATTTAAACTGAAATTGATCGAAGACTAGTCTCATTTTCAAATAAGACTATATATTTAAAGCAAACTAAAAAATATATGCCCTGCTCACAAAATAACAAAGCGACAAGCGTCGTCTATGTGTCTGCTGGTCCCTTGAGTGGCTACTTCTCATTCAACTCGTTTCAGTTAATACATCACAGAAAGGGCTTTGGTGACTGAGTTTCTCCAGACGTATTGATGAGTCAATGAGTCCTTGTCCGCTACATCAGAGGTTGTTTGCCTGCTCTACACTTTTAAATACAGCTATTTAGACTGGTGATGGCAAATACAAGATTTGTGGAGTTAGATGTTTGTTTACTGCTCACATTTAGGGATGTGAAAACAAAACAGAATCTGTGGAGGAATTAATTTAGAGCAGTGACCATGTGAAACATTTCTGTCCGTATTGTTGCGGTGGGATACATGGTTTATTCAGTGAGGTGAGTAAATAGGTTAAACACATTCACTGGGAGTATATACTGGTTCTAAAAGTGCACTATGTAACATTTTTGGTAGAGGGTCAATCACATGCTGGTTTCCACGGAGATTATATTTACTGGGAAAGTGCCAGAGTATGGTATTGAACAAATTGCTTGTATTTATTTGTCTACAAGTGTCTTAATTACCAAAGTCACACTGTAATGCCTTACAAAGCAATAACATCACCATGGAGACAAGCAGATGACAGACCATCCACAAGAAATGTTATTAAGCAATTATGTAAGGCATTCATAACTGCAGTCATTCTAAACACATCTCAAATCGGTGTTGATACAGGAAAATTTGGGTATCGGTTCCATGATAACAGTTCAGTCTAGAGCCCTGCCCCGCGGGACCTGATGCAAAACAGTGCGACGCAGGACACATTTTGAAAGCCCTTTGCGAGCGCAGGACTGGACAATGCGGCAGTGGGCAGGTGGGATGATAAACTGCGGTTCTGCAAACGAAATATGAGAGTAAAGTAAAATATACAAATGATTAATATATGCATCATACATAATTTGTGCTGGATATTTTATTTGGCATTAATAAAAACATTTTAAGTAGCCTAAATTTGTGGATGTGGTCTAATCTTGAGCATTTTAAACAATTCCTTTCCACTTAAAAAAAAAAAAAAGTGAGTGTCTCCATCTTGCAGAATTTGCGAGTGGGACAAAATATCGCAGATGTGGGCAGGGGCAGGAATAAAAATTACAATTCTTTTAAGGCGTAGGCAGGAGCAGGACTGCCCATTGCAGGTGCGGAGAGGAGTGGGACTGACCTCCAGTTCATTCGATATCCATGCTGAACTAACTGATGTAGACCCAGGAGAGAAAAGGGAGAAAAAAATGACATTTTCAATCTCTACACTGACATCAGTTAATATCGGGTATCAGCAGATACTTAAAGACAGGATTGGTGCATCCCTATTGTTTAGTTAGTTAGTTTGTACATTGTTATCTTTCTCTTATCTTAACTTGGACTGTATATATTTCATAAAACTGAATAACCCTCTTATAGCTGTGTGTATAGCAAATTTTATTCCTTATTTTGTAACAGTAACAGTAAATCTCTCTTGTCTAAACTGTCTTGTAGTTGCATTATTTTGAAAAGATAAAAGATTGAACTATTTTTGAGTTCTGATGAGATGTTTCACCTCTCATCTAAAGGTGACTTGATCCCTGATGTGCGGTTGGTGTATAGTATTGGTCGATTGGTCTCACCTTGGTGGTCTTGACCTTGTTGCCGGCTGCAGGACCAGCCAGTCAGATCGGGCAGGACTTTACACTCCTCACCGTCCATGCACGGCTCCATCTGGCACCACCACTTCTGCGCTACAATGGAGGCTACCAGAGAAACAAAAACACAATTTAATTATCACATATTTTATAATAGACTAATCACAATTGTTGTCCTGGAGATATGCAAAATTAGAATATTTATTTGGCTATAATTAAAAGTATAAAAAATTACACCAAAAAGAGCTGATAATAAATGTTGAATTGCTTTTCATATTTGTAAAATAACAACTGCAATAATAATATAATAATTTTGTTTTTATATATTTCCCAATTTCACTTCCAAGCTTTTTTTTTTTTTTTTTTCCCATTAAGTAGAGTGGACAGCACCAATAGACAACATCACTGTGTCTGCGTCTGCTGTCCACCTAAAATTAACCCCATCCTATTCTCCCTAGTATCTCCAGCCTCCTTTAAGGTTAGTGTCTTAACATAATTGAAAATCCTCTTTAGATACTTTGCTTGTATAGTTGAAGGTGCACAATGGAACTTTCTGGCAGAAGGTTCATCACTTGCTTGTCTCCATGGAGATGTTATTGCTTTGTCTTGAATGTTCCACAGTATCATATGGCGATGTCACCAGATCAAGTTGAATCATCAGTTAGATCTGTGGTGTTGATTTTTGAGTAATTACAAGATCTGTAACAGTGGCCATACCAGCTTGTCAAAGCCTGATCCCGTCAGATCTCAGGAGCTAAGAAGAGCCGGGCCTGGTTAGTACTTGGATGGGAGACCACTGGGAAAATCAGGTGCCACAGTGGAGCGCCAGTCGCAAAAACTGTTGTTGTGTACCTAGGTAAGGCACTTCACTCATGTTGCCTAGTATAAAAGTGGTGTGTGCTTGAGTGATGGTTGGAGGGGCTGATGGAGCAGATTGACAGCCGCACTTCTGTCAGTCTGCACCAAGGCAGCTGTGGCAAATAGTAGCTTACCAACACCAGGCGTGAATGATGATCTGTATAATAAGTAACTGAAATAAAACTTACTTAATACTTAAACTTATGCAATTTAATAAATGCTTCTGCTATGTGTTTAATGCTATATTACGGAACATTTAAGGCAAAGCAATAACATCCCCATGGAGACAAGCACCCAACCAAAAAGTTACATAATGCAGCTTTAAATCCTTTGCGATACAAGTTCAGATCAGCACCACGGACAGCGACAGTGTGCTTCTCTTCATATTGACTTTATCTCAGCACAGTTTTATCTTTAATGTGATTTTCACCACAGTCAAATTGTATAACAGTTACCTTTTTCATTTTAATCAGATTATTCAGATCCCTCAACATGAGATCTTAAATCCTGTGTGAGTCAGGCAAGCAGGGAGAAAGAATGAACGGTGATGGAGACATGAAGCCTGGGAGATTGTATTGTAAAACCAAGGCAGTATTAGTCATTTTCTTTGAAGAATATTCAACCAGGAGACCACAGATGAAAAACAGCCTCTCTGGCTTTTCTTTTTACTCATGTTTAATCATGCGTGCTACGAAATTGCACTGTCCCCTTTCAAAGAAATGTATCTAATCTAAAAGCAAGGGTTGACCAGTCACTCACTGTTAGAAAGAGCAGACAAGGGATATACTTTGAATGAGACTGTAGCTTTTTGTTTTATACATTTATTTTTTTAAGTAGTACATCAGTGAAGTGGCAGTTTGTGAGGGAATGCTGAAATAAATAGGCTGAATATTACAAGAACTTTGAGCTCAAATATTTTTCGATATACTCAATATATTTTTCAAATAATTTGAATTTGAATATTCATTTATGAAACTAAAGGTGTTATTTTATTCTTCAGTCATTATCATTAAGTAAATCAGGCAAGGATTGGCCTTTTGTTTACAAAAATGTTTCTGGAATTACCTCTACACCTCACCACTGCTGTCCATGTCCAACAGAGGAAGTAAAATAATGAACTAAAATCATCAAACTATGAAAAATTAATCTACAAATCTTAAAAGTAAATAAAGATTTAGTAAAATGAATAGTGAGCATGTTATATGCACTATAAGAAGAAAAAGATACTTGTACATACTGTGCTATACATTTTACAAAAGAAAAAACAAACTTGAAAATTGTTAGGAAAAGCACTGCCAGTGAACTAAAATGGTAGTGACTGTGGTTATCTGCACAAGTGTTTTTTTTTTCTTTTTCTTTTATAGTTTTATTATAACTATTAACTATTAATAATAACTATAAATTTTTATCTGTACAAAGTTTGAAAGCCAACTTCTGAACACACAGCTGCACTCGGGACTTACTGAGTAGAACCTGAACCACCTCTGACCACCTTCTATCACACATCAGATGCCTTAAAAAGATGGATTTTTCCCAAGGACACAACAGTATAAATTGTAGTAGCATAGGCATATAAGTAGAACTAGCAGCAATCACAGTAATAGCTGATAAGTTCTAGTGGCACAAGGTATTGCAGTAGTACTAGAATTTGTACAAGACAGAATACATAAAACATTCACAGACTTCACATCACATCTTCTAACTCTCTGAATCACATCAACATGATTTACACATAAAATTGATTATTACATTCTGTTTTATGTATTTTTTAGCCAATGGCAATGCCCTTTTAATCCAAGGTTTCTGAAAAAAGTTTTACTACTCATCAGAATATCAATTCTTAAGAGACTAGGCATTATCTTTCCAAATGAGGCTCTGACACTGTTTGACTCCTGGTGTGAACTCAATAAAAGGGATTTTGAAGCGACATGTCTACTGAGATTGCCACTCAATTACAAGAATAAGTAGCAATTGTCTACCGTGTTCCAACAGGATAAGTCGTCTTTTACTGTGTAGTTCCAATCCTTAATCTAGACTTAAACCCACGTCTCACAGTTGACACTCAAATCTCATAGATCAACTGACCCTCCGTCTAGACAGGAGGCAGCCGAGAATAACTTAATTTACTTTTCTTGGCTCCTCTGAGGCTGTAGGAGAGAGGATAAAAGAACCAACTTCATTACACATCTGTGTACGGATGTTCTCAAGAAAACATGATTACACTTCATACTACACATTCATTAGCCTTTAAAGGACAGTACAAAGCCTTACAGTTTACTACAACCACAGTTAAACCTGGGTTACCAGTGCATGTTCAGGCACTGGCAGAGTACACATATGTGTACATAAGTTTTTTTTGTTTGTTTGTTTTTTTTTTCCCCTCAGTATACAGACAGGTCATGCCTCACATGAAAGCTCAGAACCTCCAGAATTCCTTCACTGGGTTGCAGAGGATGCACTAGCACTGATTAATGATTGGCTGTCACTGCTGGGGTTTAGGTACTGACCATATCAGAAAGAGTCCTTTTTTAGGGATCAAGGTATAGGCAAACAACTGCATGTCACCATTGAAACTAACAACCCAAATGAGGTCTTGAAAACTAAAATATAAAATTATAACAAATAAATGGCTAATCATGTCCAGTGGTTTTGTAACTGAGAATAAATCAGCATTCAGCAAAGCTACAGTGAATTTTAAAATCAAAATTTTAAAGAAAATTCCTTTAATAAAGCATGAAGACTTAATTCATAATGGACAATAGTATTAATAGTTTATTAAGAATGATTGTAGCTCAGTAACTTCTTAATTAAGGGGTTAGGAATTAGGGTTATGGCATTAAATTAGTAATTACTAAGCCTAAATCTTTCTTAATAATGATTTGTTTGTTATGAATTAGGCCTTCAAACTTCATTACTGAAAACTTGATCTCTGGTGACAATCGTTTCCACACTGATGTTAAAATGTATGATGCAAAAAGTGTTTACATATGACACCAAACATCTGAAGAACAACAGAACAGGGGAGGGGAGTAAAAAAAAAACACATCTTTGTAGTGTCGGAATGGAGTGCTTTGGATGACTATCAGCAGGAGTGGATGAGCTAAAAGAACAAAAAGACAACGCAGAAAAATGGGGAGCGATTTGAAGCCGAGTGGAAAATAGGCTCCACATAAAGGGAGAAGGGAGAAGACAGTGTGGATAAAGCTCTCATAGCCACGGAGGAGTGTAATATTGAGAGCTGTTATGATGCACGCACACAGGCCCTTTAAAACCATTGGCTGTGTAATTCTCATTAATGCTGCCATTATAGCGTTAGCAGGCATAGAGGGACTTATTTACAGCCAGTGGTCACAGCCCTGGAGTGCTTTGATCAAGTTACAACCTGATCACGTGACACTCAAGCACCTGACATGGTTTGCGGTGTTACCCGTAACTCAGAGGGCGCGTCGTAAAAGGGTGAAAGGGGTGCTTAGACTGTGGCCGGTGCCGTTCGGAGTGCGTCAACCTTTAGGGCCATCATTAGCGGTGGTGGCCTACTAAAAGTAAAGAGGGAGAGCCAGGTGCAGAAAGGACAAGCACACAGAGTTGTCCTAGGATAACTCCAATACAGTCTGCAGTGACGTTACATAACCAAGGCTAGTTAAATAAAAAGTGCAAAAGGAAAAGCAGAAGTCCATATACACAAGGGACTGCAAGTTTAAGATGCACTATGTCTTGTCTCCTTTGAGATGTTATTGCTTTGCCTGGAATGTTATACAATAGGTCTATCTCTATGAAGGCACCACCACCAGGCCAAGATACTGTATGTATAATTATAAATGTAAAAATCCATTATATCTTATCTTAAAGTTCCTATATTACACAAAAAAAAATATTCTTGTGAGCTTTAGATCATGTTATACTGTTGTTACCTCCTCAAAGACATATCTGGAATTGTGTTTTGTTTCATTCACACATGTTTGAGTAACTCTTTATTATTTGTCTGCCTACATATCAGAAGCTCAATGCTCTATTCCAGCTTGTGATGTCACAAAGTGGTAGTTTTCAAGTTAACAGCTCCTTTCACCTTAATAAAACTAGTTCAGTAGAGATTGGCAAATCCAGGGTTGAAATGATCCAAATGATTACAGTGAAGGTGTATGGAGTTTAAAAACACAGTGGAGCTGTATTACCCTTATGACATCACAAGGTGGAACAGAGTGTTTTCGGTTTGAGAGAAGAACTCAGCCTAAATATGCAGTGTTTGTGTG